TCACCAGTACCTGAGGACGCAGACACACTAGCACCTAGAGCAGCAGCGTCGCAAGCACCTAGGGCAGCAGCCTCACCAGTACCTAGAGCAGCAGTCTCAATGCCCAGGTCGGGCGGAAAACACCGGTAACAGTCACCCTCATCACTACTAGTCACAGCATACATGGCAGCAAGGATAGCATCAAAGTCAAGATCAAAGATAGCTACGCCAGCCCTAGACTGCTCTCCCCAGCGGGGGATCTCCGTGGCCTCTGGAAACTGCTGACGCCAAGCGTCCGTCAGGCGGCCAAAACAGCGCTGGGTGGGGTGGGCACCCCCACACTGCTCACCCACGCGGTCGCCGGTGCGAAGGACGTAGGTGCAGGGACCAAGTCCCCCACCACGCTGACGCTGCGTGTACCACTCACGGAGCTGCTGAGGGGTGGGGACGTCGTGAGAACGCTGCTGCTGCTGCTGGCGCTGACCACCCCCAGTGCCGCTCCGCTGTGAAGTGCCACTCCGACCACCTCCAGCACCTCCACCTCCACCTCCTCCACCTCCGCCACCGCCGCCACCCCCGCCAGTACCGCCGCCGCCGACGCCGCCTCCGCCTCCACTGCTACCACTAGCACCCCCACCCCCGCCACCTCCTCCACCGCCACCCCCACTCCCTCCGCCGCCTCCACCTCCACCGCCACCGCCCCCGCTAGCCCCACCCTCTCCCTTGCCCCCCTTGCCCTTGCCAGGGCGGCGTCTCCCGCTAGGGGCAGACGCCGCACCGACCGACTCAAGACCAACGAGGTCGGCGGCAGCGGCAGAGGCGACAGAGGGCAAGAGAGGGGAAGGAGAACACCCCTCAAAGATGGGGGCGCGGGGGTCACCTCGAGAAGCTCCTACAGCGACGATGCTCTTCTCCGTCGCTAGGAGGGCCTTCTGTAGGCTGTCGACTGTGAGAGTGGTGGGACAGAGCGCGAGGAAGTGGTCCCGGACTACACGAAGGGAGTCAGGGAGGCGGGTGACTAGAAAGTAGAGAGTGATGTACATGGGGGGGGGGGTTCTTGGCGCAGAAGTCAGCAGGAAGCGCAGCGCGGTAGCGGGTGTCACTAGTGCGGAGGTGCGTAATGAGATCAGCGACTGTGGGAAAGGCGGCAAGGTCAGGGAAGAGGAAGGGTAGCATGAGGCGGCTCAGTGCAGCAGTGGCAGGGGAGGAGTAGCGCGCAACTACAGCGTCGTACAAGGTCTGAGCACTCTTGTACTGACTAAAGTGCGCACGCTCAGAGGTAGGGAGGTGGCGACGCACAGCAAGACGTACAGCAGCATCGCGCATGGACATTGATGCGCCGCTGTAACTTTTTCTATCATGAGCTAATAGTGTTGATCTATTTATGCCAACAAGGGCTGGGCCCCATTGGTGGCCCACTTCAAGAAGCAAAGGTGTCCTTGAATGTCAACCATAGCCTCCTTGGCAAGATTTATACGGAACATATCAGGGTGATGGCTCCAGTATGATAGTGGTTAGGGTATGGCTCGGATACGGATATGGGATGGCCCTACGAGTGAAACTCAGTGGCGTATCTCCATGGTTGTAAGCATAATTGTTCTTCGTATTAAATATTACTCATCACATTACATAAACACACAAACATGCCCCTCGGGGGTATATCGAGATCGAGAGGGCAGGCAGGCGGTGAAACCCTAACTCAGTTCACGCCTTGTTCACTACGCGTGGTCTAGTAGGCGCGACTACGTCCTTAACGTTAGTGGTTGGCGTGGATGTAAAGTGCGCTTGCCCGCACGCAGTCGGCTACGTGACGGCCATGTGAGTCATGGTCCGAGCATGACCCGTATACCATGCCGTACGCGACATGCTGTTTCTGCGAGAAATTACTGAAAAGCTACGGTGGGTTACGTAGACATCAGCGGAGGAACAAAAAATGCCTGTACGAACAGGACCGCCTAGCGGCCCTAGGCATTCCGTACGGCCGATTCTATCAGACGCCGTTAATTACGATCGTGCACGCATCCGGTCGACGCATTGACGCGCCATTCGAGCCCTGCACGGCTCGCGATCGACACGAGGAGGACGGCAATGGCGATGACATGGAGGCGTCGTTATCAGCGGAGTCAGCTCCGTTTGTTGCATCGGGGGAGTTGGAGGACGTGGCGGAGGCGGGTGTCAGTCGGGACTTTAGGCTAGAAATAGCACGCATTGCGCGGACGTATTTCTTGCCTAATGCGGCCATAACCCACATCATCCAGTTGTTTAAAGCTGGGAACGGGGACCCCTCAGAGGTGGATATGTGGCAGACATATCGGGACCTCGAACGGTTCGAGGAGGAATACCTGTCATTTGTCGACGAATGGGAGATACGCGTGTTCGAGCTGCAGGAGGGGTTGGGCGCGGTGACGTTTCGGTTTCGGCCACTCGTTCGTGTGAGTTTTGCGGCATAGAGGTGAGAGGCAGTCCACATTTCTGCCACATTGACCCGTTGGTATGCTGCTCATTGGGCAATCCTTCACCACGCAGATTCTGCTGAGGATGTGGGAGAAGATGTCCCGGGTCCCCGGGTTCACGACGGAACCACGGACAGTGGAGGCGGATGACGAGACACGTTACGGGGCCGCTATGGAATGCGACTGGTTTCGGAGGGCATGGGTACGTTTGAATCTGTCATTATGTCGTTCCCCTTGTTCTCCTGGGCTCATGTCGCAGCTTCGGGGAGGGTGAGCAGACGCAGGGTGGGTTGCACGTCCACAACTCCGTCTGTGTCCGACCCATACCCTACAGGAGGCTTTACGGGGTGCCAGTATAGTGGCAACGGTGATTTTGTTTAGTGATGCGACCCATCTGACGTTTAATGGGAGGCAGCTGGCTCACCCGATGATGTTCTCGCTGGACAACATTCCCGAGGCCAGCCGATGGCTGGAAGGTGGCATGGAGATCGTAGCACTCTTCCCCCCGCTACCCGCAGCCTTGACACCTGAGCAGAAGACGGAGCTCATGCACGAGATGCTGCGGCTGGTACTAGGGCCTCTCATGCGGGCATCATCAGTCGAGAGGTACATTGCGGCCAAAGGCGTGGGAGGTGCCATCCGTAAGCGGTGTAGTGTCCCAGGCCGGGGTGAGTTGAATAAACCGATGATCACACTTGCTTCTACCGACGTTCAGGACCCGTCTTGCGCAGTGGAGGAATCATGGTCACCGATCATTTGGGGCAGAAACAGAGGGTATTTCCACTTCTGAGCAAGTACGTGTACGACCACACCGAGTCGTGCATGGTGACATGCACATGGGCAGCCACGTCGAACCAACCTTGCTCTATGTGCCTCGTGAGCAAGTGGGACCTGGCGGATATGACGCTGGAAAGCACCACACGCACAGTGAAAGTCCAGAAGGACGTGTACAAGCGGATCGAGGGTACCAAGAGAGTTAAGTCTGCATGGTGCACACACTTTGTGAAGGTGAGTGACCCTTTGAGAGGCTGCGGTGTGGGGTTCAGGCAGTTGAACTATTGTTTACACAACCCAAAGTGCGCGATTTCGCGCAGAGATAATAGCATTAGCTTTGTGCGGTTTGGCAGTGCGCACTGTGGGAATGGGCGCACGTCGACACACCCTAGGGGAACCTCTACGAGGATATCGGAATATGCATCATGCACGTGGTGGACGAGGGGGTGTGGCTGCACACCATGCGATGCCTCGTGGCGAAATTAACCCCCACCGAGCTGCTGATTCTTCTAAGGTACTGAGTGCGGGTTTTTGAGGGGTTGTGGCGTGGTGCTTTAAGCACATCTGATGTAGGACTGCGCGGTTGAACTCGTGTTTGCTCATGTCTTGCTCTGACGTTGCATTGCTTGTGGCCGCAGCCAGTGCGAGGCCGTCATGGCAGCGACGCCACCGTCTCTTCTCCGGCATCCGGACCCATTGGCATACTTTGGGACGGTGTCACAGTACGCCGCATGGGAGCACCGGGCCATGATGCAGATTGTCCCGCTGGTCGCTCACTTGCCTGGCCACGAGGACATTGCCCACGTGTTCATCCTCTTCAACGAGTGGTACCGCGCGTATTTCCGCGTGGCTTATCACACTGAGGCGTCTCTTCAAGATGCAACGAGGAAGACCCTTGTGTAAGCGGGTTTGTCATTCACACACAAGGCTGGCTTTAGCCTCCACCATGCCCCTGCACCTCGAGCCCCTGCCTCACAAGACACTCTCTGTCCCGCCGAGGCATATCTGATGCCTCTGACTCTCAGGCTCTTGCCTATAAGGCCACTCCCTCCAATGCCACTCGTCATCATGCCCCTGCCTCGCAACCCTTAATCCCCTATATGCCCCCACTTGCCTTTGGCCATACTTCTCAATGGTATTAGGCAGCCACATGATCTCATACCACTGCATCAGACGCCCCTACCTCTAATGCTCTTTCCTCCCCCGCGCTGGACTTTCATGCAAGTGACTCTCTTGCTGCGCACTCTCCTGCCCCTCCGCCCTCCGCATATCATGCCCCAGCCTTATCTGCTCCACAATATCACGCCAATGCAGCATCTGCTCCTCCCAGCTAATGCACATGCCCCTCATGCCACTGCCCCGCATCGACATATATCTCACGCGTTTCTGTACGATGCTGCGCAGGCTGGTCGCGGAGCTGAAGCTCGTCTTCCCCAAGCAGTCGTCGCAGTGGCGGCTGCCAAAGGTGCATCTTCTCCGGCACCTTCCGCACGCCATCAGGATGCATGGCATCCCGTCCGAGCAATCGACCAACACATACGAGGCAATGCATAAGCGATGCTGCAAATGGCCTGCACGGAACTCCAACTGGCGGGAAGTGGGCAGAGACATTGCGGTTCGCCACGCACGCAACGAGGCAATCAGGGGCCTGGCTCGGGAAGAGGGGGGGAGGACGTACGAGACGGCCATGCGCACGGTGAGCTATTTCGGGTCATGCATGCATGGTATGGCAGACGCTCCATGTGACATTGCTTCCATAATGATGTCCCGTATTTGTAGTGAGCTCATGTGGTCATGTTCCGTTCTCAGTTACGATCTTTTCCATTCCCATCATACGGCGAGTGGGCACAGGCGGTGAAGCACAACACATTGGTGCTGACCCGACGTTCACGGCGCATGGTGGTGGGGGATGCGCAGGTCCCGGTATGGGCGGAATACGACGCTGCTCTGGGCAGCGTCGTGATGGATGGGATCGCACGGGTGATGCAGCGAGTGGGGATCGCTGCGTCAGGCGTGCAGGTGATGGCTCGATGGCACGAGTGGGTGCAAGGGGGCCTAACCGGGCATGGGATTTCTGGGGTACAAGGTGGTCAGCAGTGCCTTGTTGTTGCATTTGAGGGGGACCTTCACGTGATGCCCGGTGCCGTTCTTGTCGTTGTCTACAGGTGCACACCGCTCTGGTGATACCCCCCCATGACCGCCTCTTGAGCCGCGGGCCAGGGCACATGGTGAAGGCAGCGCCGGGTGAAGGGAAGTTCAGCTACGTGTCGATTGATGGGGGGGAAGGCGACTGGTATGCACGGTGCCTCGTGTTCTTCCATTTCATGGACGACGAGGCCCAGATTCACAGGCGCGCCGTGGTGCGGTACTTCGACGAGCATCCCACTCCATGCCCCGTGACGGGATGCGTGAGGCTCTTGCCAACGGAGGGAGAGGATGAGTATGCCGTTGTCGAGGTGGAGAGCATTCTGTCCCTTGCCCACATTGTCCCGTGTTTCACAGAGGCCCGGTTCTCTTTGGTGAATCGGTTCCTGTTTGATGAGTGATGGGGGCGGAAGACATGTTGCAGCCGTGTGGTCGTGCCTTGACAGGGAGCATGTGGGGTCGGTACATGAGGCAAACCACGGCTACACTTTTGATGTAAAACATGTGGGCAGTTGGGCAGTAGTAGTTATGTTGTTTCCATTCGGTTGCTGTCCATTAGTTTGGGAAGCCGCGAGGCGCCCCCCCTGGCCTGCCTGAGCAGATGTACTTTTGGTGTTGGACTGTGCTATAGACCAGATGTTGGTACTGTATGTAGTGTTTATGTGTTGGTACAACATCATGCAAAACCCTGGCTTCTGGACATTGTCCATAATGTTGCAGCTTATAAGGGGTTTTTTTTTTCCTGTTACATGGCAAGAATCGAACCCGGGCGCTCAAGGAACATGAGGGTACGCTGGGTTGGGACAAATTTGGGTCAGATCGACGTTGGGTTAGGTTTGGGGCAAAAACTCATTGACCCAGAAGTGACCCTGTTCTGACCACTAACCCTGATTTGACCCCAAAGGAACTCTGGGGGCATTTACAGGACAAGCTTGGGTTAGGCCGGAAGGTGGGACACGCTAGGGTCAGAAACATTTTGGTGATGCTACAGCTGGCGCAAAAACTAATATGCTATTAGGAACAGATACATTGTTGGATGAGTATTAGAGCTAGGGACGACAAGATTAGGCTTAGCTAGGAGTGGAAAGGTAACAGCAAGAATAGAGCATGGAACAACTACGGTACAAGAGAAACAGGAATGCTGAAGTGGGTGGACAATCGAAACCCTCAATTTTCGCGTCGAAAGCCTTGAAGGAGTTTACATCGGTACGACAAGAACGTGTAGATAGCGTAGCGGTTAGTGATGAGGGGTCAATCGGGATGTAGCGGGTTCGATTCACGCGCGAACGGTTTCGTTCGCGTGTTTGTTGCAACAAAAATTCATGATTAAATTTAGTTTCCCATATTTGTACAGCTTCCTTAGCCCTGTGGTTCCTATTCCGCAAGTGAACTGAAGGTAAGGGGATCGATTCTAGCCATAGTTTTTGTTACATCAAAGTGCATGTTGCTTGTAGTTTTACACGCTGGTCGGAAAATTTTCGGAGTCGAGAATTGCCAGCGACAGGTATCGAACCCGCATCCCCAGAACCCCATGGTCCTTTCGGCTTTTGGGACACGTTCGGGTCAGGTAAGGGTCAGTACTACGTTTGGGCCAAAAGACTCACTGACCCCAAACTATCTCCCAACTGACCACTAACCCTAAAGTGTCCCAAAAGTCACTTTCGGGGCAATTTTGGGCCTGGCTGGGGTCAATCCGGTTTCCGGGTCAGGTTTGGGTCAGAAACATTTTGGTCCTGAGGATCCATGCACAACACAGCGCATCCATGCTCGCCAATGCCCTCTTCATGTTCAAGGACTCAATGTGACCTGTTTAGGAAGGGATAGGGTGCTGGAAAACGATGTGCAACGAGGTCTTCCGGTACTACCAAACTTTGGAAAAAAAACTCAAGGCAGAACTCCTCCTCGCCCTCCCTCCACCCCTCCCTCCTTTTTCTGGAAGGTTCACGCACGCGTCGGCTGGTTGCATACTGCCATTGATCGTGAATAACAAGGCAGCCGACGCGAGGGATTCGGCTAGGTTCAGGGGTCTTGAAACTAGTGCTTGGTGCTTGGCTACAGAGGGAGCGTTCTGTCCTTTTCGTATGGTACAGTATGTTGTCCGATGTGGGCAATTCTCTCTAGTGCGCTGCGCTGCTTTCGTGTCTCGGAAGGCACACGGGTTTGGCTTTACTGAAAGAGTGGAGCGGCGGCGCCTCACGTCTTCAGAATGCTGTACATGTGGACTGTGGTGACTTGGACCGCTTACGAACCAGCGTGTCCAGTACGAAAACCTGCAAAACACAGGGTAAGTTTCTATCCCATGTCAGACACGAAGCCAGACACGAAGTTGGAGTTGGGAAGACCCAAAGGGACTCGGAATGCTGGCAAATTTAGGTTCGGAAGACACAAACCAAGTCACTTTGTGTCTTCCAAAGCTTTGACCTGATGTCTGACACGGGATAGAAACGTACCCACAGAACTGGGTGATTTGGAGGCGCACAGGCGACCTGCAAATTCGGGAACAATTTTGGACCCACCCTGCTAGAGCGGATCTCGAGGATCTCTAATCGGCCCAATTAGTCAGCCCAATTAAAGTTATCTTCGGGCAGCTGGCTGACTTTTTGACAAAGACGCTGCTACACTTTCCGGCTTTCAACCGGTGCTCCGTCGCAATCGGCCAAGCTCGTCTGACTGATGTCCGCGATGGTGATGATGAGGTGCAGCAGAAGATGCGTGCTGGTGGTGAATGGCTGGTGGTGACATGCGTGCTGTGTGTTGGATGCACGCAGACAGAGTTTACCCTTGTATTCTTTCCCTTGAATTTTGGGTAGACCTAGCGTGTGGGGTGCCCAAGCGCGAGCGCGGCAGGGGAGTGTTGACGGGAAATGGCCCTCCCCCGCTTGGGCGAAGCAGAGTTTGTTGTCGGGGGTGCGCAGAATTCGACGCAGCCCACACGCGGAGTTTTACATCGACCTGGCAGTAGAGTTCGTCGTCGACCTTTTCGCAGAAGTTGACGCAGTCGTATGGTCGACGCGGCTCTGAGATGGGTTGGTCGACGAGCCCGTAAAGAAAGGATGGCCGACGGGTCCTGTTCGACGGACTCGGTCGACACCTTCTACGGAAGTCGCTGGTCGACGACACCGGTCATCGATAAGCCCGTCGAGAGGCTCTGCACAAGTCTGTCGACAAGCTCTACGCAAACCAACCGATCAAAACTATTCGACTGCGAAGGCCGCAGATGTGCGCGAACTTCGCCTCATGAGGTTTTCGCGAAGTGAACCTGCAAAAAGGCATCACATGCTTGGCGGTGCATGGCTGGCAAAAGCGTCGACAAGTATTCTACCTGGCACCTGCGCAATGTGCCCGGTGGCGCGACCGTCTATCTGCACCTACTTGGTAAGTGTGCACATGCACAGATGTTCACGTGCCTCTGCAGCGCTGGCAGACTGCTGAGGTGCAACACTGCCAGAACTACTCTGCTGCAGCGTTGACGAGCCGCTCTTCTGCTGCACTCGCATAGTTTGCCTTGCAGAGGGCTTGCTAGGTGTTGCAATGCCACTCTAGCTATATCGACTTGCATGCCTCATTGTAATCTAATGGTATCTCAAAACTCTTAGTGAAACTCTTGCCAGATTTCTCTGTCAACACATCATAGTAATAACGCCTAGTGCAACGCTACAATCACCCGCACAACCCCGTGCCTTCCTCAGTCCACTCCCGTTGTGTAGTGACTCTCCGCACCTTAGTCATTTGTTTGTGTTCTCTTTACGCACACATTCACGGGGAGAGTTGGCAAGAGTTCCACTAGCAAAAGTTGTGAGCAATGGTTGAACAAGCATAGTAACAATGGACTACATCAGATGCTAGCAAGCATGCACGCCGACCTCCAGCACAGCTTGGTCGACCGCATTCCAGCGCAGCAAAGTCCGCGCTCTGGTGCCGAATTCTAACTCGTGAGTAGGCTACCAGTCGTCTTAGTCGCCATGGTGGGCCACAAGGCCAAAGTAGGTGTAACGAATACCCTGTAGGCAACGGAGGCAGATGCGAGGAGATGCCACGAAGCTGGCGAGTTTGAGCATGTGCTCAACGCCTTCTCTGACAAAGGCTCGGACGGTGCCGAAGCCCTGGCCGTCGTGCACATCGATATAGCAGACCATTTTGGGTGGCCGCCAAGGATCGCAGCTTGTACTTCTACCTGGTGAGGCCGGTCGCCAAGAAGTCAGCCGTGTTGCGGGGGTTTGAGAAGTGGCTGCTGCTGCTGGAACGGCAGACCAAGTTTTAGGTGCTAATGCTCCACTCCGACCGTGGAGGGGAGTTCCTCAGGAAGGAGTTCACCACCTTCGTCGACGGCAAGGCCATCGTCCACGACTTGACCTGGCTATACACTCTGCAGCAGAATGGCATGGCAGAGAGGGAGATGTAGACGGTGGTCGAGTCGGTGCAGACGATGCTGTTGCACATGAGAGTGCAGCACCACTGGTGGCACCTCACTTTACAACAGGCCTTCTGGGTGCGTAATTGTCTTGAGTGGTCGGTGTTGCCTCCGGGGACAACGCTGCACAAGCTGCTAACCTTCCAGAAGCCCGACTTGACCCTCGCGTGCGTGTGAGGCTGCATGGTGCGGTTCATGGTCCCCGAGCAGCAACGTGGCGGGACGTTGGCGCCAAAGGCTAGGTGGGGCCACCTCGGTGTGTGGCCGGAGAGCAAGGCCTGAGAGGTGCTCGACTTGACCGACAACAAGGTGGTCACGACGGTCGAAGCTGTCTTCTATGAGACCATGTCCCTGGAAGTATGGAAGTTGGAGCACTGGCAGGTGTCAGGGCGGACGCAGGCCAACCCACCGATAGAATTCTACACGGCGACCTCTCCAGTGCTTGCCGAGGTTGGCGAGCTCGATGATGAGGACATCCAACCTCCCTCTCCTCCCCCTGCCCCTACAGTCCCACCTCTCGTTGCAGAGATAACTACTACAACAGGGCTAGGCACGGGTGCTCGTGTGATCTCTGCGTTCGTTGGTCATTAGTCGTTTCCTAGTGCACACACTGCTTGCTAGTTCACGGGGCAAGTTGGCAAGAGTTTCACTAGAAACAGTTGACAACAATGGTACAATGAAGTTGGCATAGCAAGACTACATCAGAGCTAGCATCCAGGTCGGTTGATTGCCAGCGGAGCACAGTCGACTGCGTTCCAGCACGTCTTGGTCGACCGCGCTCTAGCAGTGCAAGGTCGACAGCGTGCCAACATTGCAGGTTGACGGCGTGCCAACGTTGCTCCCGCAGAACACCAGCGCACCTACATCGCAGGTGCTTGCAGATGATTAGCGGGCTGAGCCTCGTCACCTGCACAACGCACACATCAAGTCATCCCCGTGCTAACAACTCCACCTGATTCGCCACGTCGACCTCGGGATACCACCACCGAG